CCTGTGACTAACTTCCAACAAAAAGTAGGGCGGACTAGGAGCCAGGATTACCCCAGACCACTGCTGAGAGGATCTCGCTTTCCCTTTTTAACATCAGTGGGGTTTTTCCTCCTCCTTCTTGCCTCTCCCCTTTGCCTGGGTTGCATAGAAACAGAAAGTGCCTTTGTACCAATTACTAGGCATTAATTTACTCTCCTCCGTGGGCGCTGGGCTTGCTGGAGAAACACTAGGGAAGGGTGGGAGGGTGATGTGGGGGAGCTTTCTAGCAGTAGAGGCATGGCATGCTGCAAGCTTCCCCCCTCCCCACCCTGAGAACAGGTGAAGCACAAGGGAGAAAATAAAAACTGGGAAGATTTGGAAGATTTTCTTTCAAGACTAAGAAACACAACAAGCCTGGGTGTTCTTTTCAATACCAACAATGCTAACAATGCATCCAGAAATCAAGCTGACGTGTTCCAAGCAGGAGTCTGCCCTGTGGTTTTAGGGGCTGCTGAAAGAGCACTGGGAAATCATCTGCCCACTTTTCCTCTCAATGAGCTTATTAGGGAAGACCGTTGTGGGCCACTTTCCCAATATGTCATATGATGTTTCTCCCTGGGAAGTTCACTTCGGGGATTTCTCACAGACCTTGCAGAGTGAATGGCTCTTGGGATAAACATCAACAACTGGGACAGGAAAGGAGTTCAAGAGCCCAGTTCCCTCAGGTTATATCTTTGTGTCTGAAAGGAACAGGGTGCTAACCATCCAGAGGGCACTGTTTCCTCTGGTGCCTCCCTCCTCTACCTGGGGTCCACTCATGTCCCTCCACTCAGGATCTGAGAGAAAAACTGGGGAAACAACTGCATGCTTTGTAATTGTATACCACTTGCATTTGCTGCCGTGAAGCAGGATCCTTGCCAGCCTGGAGAAGATGCTGAAGCCACCCTGCTTCCCTGCTTCGTCATTGCTAAGGCAGAGATCAGGCAAGTAAGAAATGAAAGAAACGAAGGAGGGACAGCAACTGGTCCTCTTCTAATTAGGACCAAGGCCCTCCAACCCAGGGGAGACTTCAGGGAAGCTGGAGAATTGGGGGTGGCTACCTTGTCCTAGACTAGAGGAAGTCAACCTCATCTGAAACTCACAAGCAAATCCACAGGAATAGAGCAAGCTTGGGAACCCATCTCCTCAGTGGGAAGCTGGCATGCAGCACGTCCGCTTCTCTATGTTCCCACACAGGCCCACTTGAGTGGGCCCGGGCATTCTCACTGGGGTGGGTGGGATGATACAGCCCCCAAGAAGCAAAAATTGGCTCTTTGGTGGGTGAAAACAATGGTAGGTATCCCAATGATTTGTGGTCTCTGAAAGGGGCACGGTTAGCTAGTAGAGTACCTTTGTGGTGTTGAAACATCATGAGGGATGGGTTGGGCATTCCTAGAGAAAAACAAGAGATAATGGGAACGTGGTAAAGAAATAGTTACCCAGGCAAGCTGCCCTCAAGCTTAGTTGTAAATACAGCTTGAGGGCCGATGCAGGTTATAAAATACTATCCTACATGTAAGAATAGGGTAGAGTATACCTCCTGAAGGGCCAGAGCACAGGGTTTTCCTTATACTCATAAAACCCTGTGAGAAAGGGACAAGGACAAGGACTAGGTGACAACACTTCAGTCCCTAAGGCCTTTTTTTTTTTTTTTTTTTGAGACATGGTCTCACATCTCACTAGCTCCAGCTGGCCTACAACTTGCTGTGTATACCAGACTGACCTCAACTCAGAGATCCAACTGCCTCCGCCTCCCAGGTTCTGGGATTAAAGGCCCTCGCCACCATGCCCAGCCCCTAAGGTCTCTTTAGTCTATGGCCTGGAGGCCAAAGCCAGACCTGGCTCTGGCCCTCAAGTCCTACCTCTCAGAGCTTTGGTTTGGACAGTAAGACTTGAACCCAGGGACTTGAGCATGCTAAGCACTCACTCTTGAGCACCTCTAGCTCCTATGTCACACATCTGATGACTCTAGAATGTCCTTTACCAAAGCTGGAGATGATCATGAAAGAGGCACAGATATACTGGGTACCTGGACAAACTTTTCAATCTCAGAACTGATCAATATGGACATTCCTAGAGGGACTAAAGAAACAGTTTCAAACTTGGAGAACCACTTCTGCTAGAGATACCAGTCCCTTCTGCCAGACTGGGTATCCAAGGGAAATATGGGTGTGGTTGGTGCATGCCTGTAACCTCAGTACCTGGGAGGCTGAAGAAGGAGCATCTTAAATTCAAGGTCAGCTTAGCTAGATAATATGACCCTGTCTCCACAAACCAAAAATAAGAGGTACTGACCCATATGAAGAAAGCACAAGTAGTTCAAACCAACTGTTGCTAGGCAAAATTTAGACCTACTGTTGCCAGATCTTTTGATTTTTCCAGAGACACTAGAAATCTGGACTTATGACAGAATCCTGATTTTCAGATGTTGGTAACTAATGAAAATTTTATAAACCGTATGCTGGCCGCACCTAACAAATCTACAAAGCAAATCCAGCAGGCCTCCAGTTTGTAAACTCAGGATTACAGGAACCTGCTTAGGGTCTCAGGAAATGCAAAGGCAAATCAGAGCCTAGTTCAGTCACCCCACCTGGGTCCCTCCTCTCGTGACACCATGGAAGGAGCTGCACTGAATTGATTTTTTTTAAAAAAAATGAAATGATTCAACTTCTAAAGCTGCTTATGGAGGTGGCAGCTGTATAAAGCTCTATAAGGAAGCGAGCAGGCAGCAGAGATTCTCAAGGGAATGTGTTGAGCAGTACAGAGCATGGGGGTGTGGCAGGGATTTTAACTCTAAGATAATCCCAGAAATCACCTTCTGGATTTAAGAACCAGCAGAGAAAAATCAGAAGCTCCCTGCTCCACCCAACAATTGATCTAACTTAAAGCTGATGTTTGAAAAGTGCTGCAAACCTAACGGCACATACCTCCTTCTAGCAAGAGTATGCTTCTGGTAATATCTGCAGAAGTTAGAGGTTTTCTCCAACTCGGCACTAAGCATGACAGCAGACCCCTGCCCCCACCAAGAAACTATAAACAAGATGCCTGCAGTCACAACATCAGTAGATTCAAAAGAATGACTAGCATTTAAAATGGGATGAACATTTATTTCATTGCCTTTTTCACTCTGATCTGTGTGAAAGGTTCTCCTGAAACAGCTGAGCTGACGTGCCTTATGGAGAATTAAAGAACAGCACACATGAGCAGCCATTTCTATAAATGCCCGAGAAAAGCACTCAGCCGAAATGGCCCATAACGCTGGGCATACTTCTGAGCCAGACAGAGGCACTGCGGGGCCTCCCCAACTGAACCACTGGACAGCCCTCCTGAAGGAGAAAATGCCTTTGCTCAAGGTGGCAGTGGGTGTCCATGTGAGCAACTGAACTCTGGAACATGGCTGACAAGGCCAGGCCTGCTCAACAGCTGTGGTGAGTAAGACGCTAAGTTAACACAACACACTTCACCCCCCAGAGTCCAGCTAAAGGTCACACCCCCTACTGTGGGTACATGCCTGTCTTCTGCCTTATAGATTCAAACTTTCAAAGGTGCTGTTTCCTATGGTAACCTAGATGCTGGCCCCACACAGCACCTGGTTCTGCATTAACCAAGGAAGAAATTTAGAATTATTCCGGTGCCAGCAGCTACCTCCAGGATCATTTTCCAAAGGAAATAAAAAGGAGAGGCGGTTACGTGGCCTTTTTAAAAGCAAAGCAGCTGGGAGTGGCAGCCCATGCCTTTAATCCCAGCACTCCAAAGGCAGAGGCAGGCAGATCTCTCTGTGAGTTCCAGGCCAGCCTGGTCCACATAGCAAATTCCAGGCCAAATGGCGCTACTGGGACAACCTGTCAAACAAACAATAATAAAAATAATATAAAAAAGCAAAACAAAACCTAAAATCCCCATCTGAGTATCATTTTGAAACTAAAGGCCTAGATTCTCTTCTATAAAATACCAAACCTTTACACCAAAACCCAGACAAATTCTAGTAACTCTACAACCTCTGAAACATGGGTGTCACAGGTCAGAGGAAAAGGCCCTTGCTACCTATCAGAAGGGCAGATACAAACGAATCTGTCTAAAGCTGGTCCAACAGCACAAATGAACACTTTTCAACTTTTTCTGTGTATGTTAACTAGGAACACCAGAGTTGTCTGCTTAAGGTTCCTCTAGGTCCCTAAGGCCCATTTCACATAGCAAATATCGTTCCAACCACGTTTCTGTGTGCTGTCTGGCCTCCCTGGGAGGCACTGAACCCTAAGCCAGCAGGAGACCACATTCATCTCCGAGAGACCTTGACCTCCAGAAAGGACCACACCTCCAGACTAAACCATTTAGGGGTCAGGCATCAGGGGCGCAACCTAAGCCACACGGGAGCAGATCAGCACTGTAATCACGTTCATTTGGAAGGCTAACTAGTGGTGAAGTTCACCCACCAACCATTCCTTGCTCAGACTCCCCTGCTGCCTGAAGCCATGTTATTTTAAACCTCTCAGGGGACTCTTGGCTTCCAAACATAAAACCACCCTTGGCCAACCTTAAAAAGTAGCCGCCACCCGGCTAAGTGAGTCCTTAGTCATCCCTAAAAGGATTCACAGAGTGCCGCTTCCCCCCACCTCTCGACCCCTTCAAAGCAACCCCACCAAGGAAGGGAATAAAAGCTGCGCCATTTGACCGCCGGCCGCCAGCGTCTCCCCAGGTGGGGCGGCCCTGCAGCGGGGTGCGGAGTCCCGGGGGCGGGGCGGCCAGGGGAGGGGCGGGCCCCACTCCCCTCCGAGCCACACACGCCTCTCAGTCCTCCAGCTTGAGGCTCTAGGTGGCTCCTAGACCCTGGGGCCGAGTAAGGAGAGACTGCTAGAGTCAAACAGCATCTTCTCTAAAACGCTTGCACCCTCTAGGCCGAGTGCAGTGTCCCGAGCGCCCAGAAATGCTGCCCCGCCAAAGGTTAACTAAGCCCGGAGTGGGGGAGAGGCGACGCCGCTAACCTGTATGCACTCTGTAATGGGCTTTGAGATGGGAGGATTTTCCATAGACTTTCCCACAGCCACTGTAGGGGCACTTGTGCCTCTTTTCGGAGGCGTGTTTCCCCTTCGCAGCCACTCCAGAGTGGAGGAGGGAGAGCGGGCTGGGCGCGCTGCCAGAATCCTGTCTCTCCTCTGGGCTGTGGGAAGGACTCGACCCAGATTCGGTGGTCACGTCGCTGTCGGATCCCATATCCTCATCCGGACTCTCCAGACTGTCGCTGCACACGGAGGGGGTCTGGATGGGTCGGTACTTGTTCAGATCCAACAAGCTCTTGGCGATGGTGACTAGAGTGCAGTAATCCTTCCAGGTGTCCCCCGGGTCACCGTGCTCCTTGGTCACCTCGCGCTCAGGTAGTCGCAACCGCTCGGCGTCCGGAGCGCCCCCATGCTCTGGCACCGCGGCGCGGTTCGAGATGGAAACCAGACACTGGGCAGCCACGAAGTCCATGTAGGCGGCCGCGGACATGGTGCGGGCGACAGCAGCCCGGGCGGCGCGGCCGAACTTGGCGGTGGCTGCGGAGCTTCGGCTCGCCCTGCCCTGGCCTCGGACGACGAGCGCGGCACTGTGCGGCCAAGGGGGCGGGGGCGCTTGCTACTCGCGGGAGTGCTCGGCGACCTCAGCCCCTCATCTTTACGTAACCGGCAGCGCCTCCGCACGCAGCATCCGCGGCCCGCTCCGCCGCTGTAGCCGCCGCCCTGCCCGGCGTCCCGCGATCCCCCGACGGGCGCGCCGGTGTCCGGAGCCCGCTCCCCTGGAAAGATGCCACACGTGGCGGTCGCAAGTTTATTCGACTGCAAACGCCCCCGAGTTGCTGGGAGAGGAAACTGCAAGCCAGGCACGCCCTCGGCCGCGCCTCCGTCCAACGAAGCCCCCGGAGCTCAGCCCAGCACGCCCACGCCGGTGGCTAGGGCGGCGCGCGCAGCGTCTAGGAGACACTTCTTCCCGCGTCCGCCGACGGCCTCTGAGCCCCTGCGCCTGCCGCTCCGTGCGTCTCCGGCATTCTCCAGCTCAGTAACAATTTCGCAGAATCCCATCACGTCACAATCCAGCCCCCCTCCAATTGGCCAGTGGGGAGGGTGATTCAACTCTGTTTACTTTCTCCCCCTGCCAGTCAGAAGGGCCCTACGGTGAAGAGGTGCGTCTGGAACTGCGGCCCGCGGCCAATCCGACCGTTCCGTTCCGCCGCCTCGTGCTGCCCCTCCAGCCTGGTCGCTGACATTTAAAAGGGTAACTGCCGAGGCCGGCGACCAGCGGCCGGGCATCTCCGCGGGTGCCCTCCGGTCCGCGTGCGCGCCCAGGCTCCCGACTCACATGCCAGCTGGCGCAGCTTCGGGACACATATTCCCTAGCTGGTTACACCCTCCTTAGGACAAAACACAACTTCAGCTTCGGTTTCCCAGTCCGCAAATAGTTAAGTGACTTCCTGCAAACGCTACAGTCCCAGCAACCAGCCTTCCAATCAAAAGTAAGTTGGTTGATGTCACTGGCATTGGCTCAGCCAATCAGAAGGGCGTTCCGAAAGCAAGTGCTCGACTCTTCTAAACGCGCAGAGGAGTGAAAGTAGCCAGATCTTGGCATTTTGTGTCACTGGTGGTAAAACTGGGATGTGATAAATGCAGTGTGAATCTATAATTTAAAAAAACAAAAACCAAGCCAGCCGTGGTGGCGCACGCCTTTAGTCCCAACATTTGGGAGGCAGAGGCATGCGGATCTCTGCGAGTTCAAGGCCAGCTGGTCTACATAGTGAATTCTAGGTCAACCGGTACTACAGGGAGACCCTGTCTCAAAAAGAACAAAAAGAAAAAGAAAAAGCCTCAGTATGTCAGGACAAGTTGGCCAAGAATAAACACGGATGAGACAGAATAAATTCTTTTTTTTTTTTTTTTTGCCTTTTTAGATGCAACATCCTTTGGAGTAGATATATAAACTTTCCTTGGTCCCACAAATTAACAAGAAATTTCTCTTTTAAAAAATCACAGCTAATGGACTGGAGAGATGACTCAGCGATTAAGAACACTGATTGCTCTTGCAGAGGACTTGGATTTGATTCCCAGCACCCACTTGGCTGCTAACAACCGTCCATAACTCCAATTCCAGTTATCTGTAGCCTTCTGACCTCCTTGGGCATTGCATAACACCAGTACACTTATATGCATGCAGGCAATACACTCATATACATAAAATAAAAATAATACTTTTTTTTTTTTGGTGTTTTGAGACAGGGTCTCCCTATAGTCCCAGCTGTCCTGGAACTCACTCTATATATAAACCAGGCTGGCCTTGAACAGAGATCTGCCTGCCTCTGCCTCCCAAGTGCTGGGATTAGAGGTGTGCACCACCACACCCGGCCATAAAATATTTTTTTTTAATTCACAGCTAACAAAAATTCTGCCTTCAAACCATAGTGTTTATTCAGGGGCCCTTATGCAGAAGTGCCATCTTTGTATTTTACTATACTTCGCCCCAGTAAATGGAGATAAAACAAAACGCCTCATTTGTCCAACTATTTTTCAGATTCTTTGCTGAAACAGCTTACTCGTCCCTCAGGACAGTTTCCTTCCCTTTGAAAATAACACTTGTCTATCTTATCAGGTAGATATTGACAAAACTCAATAGAAATCTCAAGTCTCCTGGCTCTATGCTTTACAATAACCAATCCCTAGTGAAATATTAACTGTGTTAAACAGATTCTTAAGAACTGGAATCAACCAGAGATCCTTAACCATTGAATGTCATGTTGTGGCATTGCTTGATCAACAGTTAGTGTGGGTTTGAGAGTTTGTCAGTTTGCTTTTCTGTGGTGAATGCTGGAATATCCATCCATGTTGAGAGCTGAAAAAAGAATGCAAGGCCAATATCTCTTGCAAGGAGGCACACACTGTGTGTAAAAACACATTCACCCTGACTCCCACTAGCTGTTAACCTTGAATGTTTGGGATAGTTGCACTGGGACCTGCGTTCCAAAGGAAGTCTTTTTTTGTTGTTGTCTTTTGTCTTTTTGAGATGGGGTCTCCCTGTAGCCGCAGCTGGCCTGGATTCACTATGGAGACCAGGCTGGCCTCGAACTCATAGAGAGCCTCCTGCCTCTGCCTCCTGAGTGCTGGGACTAAAGGCGTGCACCACCACACCCAGCTCCAAAGGAAGAGTCTCAAGTTTGAAGGCGAGGGAAGTTTGATTTGACTTTTAAAGTGATACAGGAAAGACATCACAGAAGGTGATCACACCAGGAAAGAGCATGTAGTAAGGTAGTGCTGGCCCATTGAGAATCACCACCATCATCACATCAGTATCCCATGTCATGAGAGAACAGAGGACTTGCTCTGTTCCAGGCCCAGGACTACACACCCTTCCAACAACCATGTAAGGTAAGTATAGTGTACTATGTAAAAGATAAGTCATCTTGGAGTTCTTTCATTCTAATCCCCTTAATTTCAGAAAAGAATTCACTCCAGCTGGCCACCTGGTGCATTTCTGTAATCCCAGCACTTGGAAAGCTGAGGCAGGAGGATGGAGAGTTTTGAGGAGGCCAGCCTGGGCTACAGAGTGAGTTCCTATTTCCAAAGAAGAGAAAAAGATGGAAAGGATGGATGGATTGATGAATAGATTGATTTACTGAAGCCCAGGGGAGTTTGCCTACTTCCTAATTTTTTTTTTTTTCAGGATAAAGTCTGCCCCTTAGGATACATGATAACTTGATAATTTAGAATTTGTTCCTCTGCCTCTTTAAGACCCAGCACAAATGCCAGTGTGATCTCTCCAGAAGCCCTATGATCATCATTGATACACCCTCCCAGACTTGTAATTTCACTGGCTTTACGCTAATAACAAAGCCTCTTAAAGTCTAGGTATGAGTGGTTATAGAAAACCTTAGGATTAGTATCTGTGTTACTCTAGAAAGGAAGAAAAGCCTGTCTCTTAAAGATTGCAATTCAGATTTGAATACATCAACTTCAGGTTTTAAAAGTATAAACTTTAACTTCCCTTCAATTTCACTTTTGGCCCCAACTGGCCTCTGGAACTCGCTATGTAGACCAGGCTGGCCTCTATTGTGATATTCACCTGTCACCATGACCGGCTGGACCAAATGCTTCACATACTCATTTCAGAGCTATAAAAGAAGGTAATCAAGAAAATAGAGTTCATCCATGAGAATTTCGCTTACAGATTTGCAAATGTAATTGCTGCTTGACCTGAAGTAGAGAATCTTTTCAAATTCAGCAGTTCTGCTATTGTGCACCACTCTTTTCTTCCCTAATCATTCTTTCTCCAGATACATGAAGGAATATAGAAATTCAGAGTCTGTCCTACATGAGGGTTACATGTTAAAAACATTTATGGGGGGCTGGGCATGTTGGCACATGCCTTTAATCCCAGCGCTTGGGAGGCAGAGGCAGGCAGATCTCTGTGAGTTCAAGGCCAGCCTGGTCTACATAGTGAGTTCCAGGACAGCTGGGGCTACAGGGAGACCCTGTCTCAAAAAGACCAAAAAAAAAAAATTTATGGGCATATGTTTAATAGCACATATCACAGGAAGTAAAAATTCCTATGTCAGGATTTTTTCCTTGTATTCTCAACCATATTTTCCATGCTGCATTGGAATGTACTGGACTAGTTTTATGATTAAAACCAGCTTATGCTGTTTCAACAGCATGTGGTTGTCACAATTAAATTTTGGCAAAATATCCCAAATTAATATGAATCATTCCTAATTAAAAGTATATACTATGCCACATAAATCTAAGAGGCCTGCTTTCCCCCAAGTTAGTTTTTAGCCATTTCTACTCCAAATAAACTATACAAGAGGAACACAATTTTCTAAGATTGTAAGTGCTTCTAGTTTATGTATTTTCCTCTCCACATTCTCCCTAAGCCTATGCTTTATTATCCAAGTTCTCGTAACAGTGGTTTATGGGCCACTGGCCAGAACTAAGCCTTGTTTACAATGCATCCTAAAATAATTATCCTTTTGGTCTCTCGTTCAAGGTAGAGCCAGAAGGATATAAGGCCTCCAGGGCCTAAGATCTGTGTGACCTCAGCCAATCTCTTGGAGTGATTTCCTTATCTGCAGGCTGATAGGATTAGATTAATATATCTGCATAGTCTCTTCCAAGATCCAGTGCTCCAGGGATCTTTAAAAATTCCTAGGAGTTGGGTGTGGTGGCCCACCCTTTGATTCCAGCACTCACTCTGGGAAGGGAGGCTGATCTTTGTGAGATCTATGTTGTGAGTTGGGCCTCAGAAGACTCAAAAAATATAAATA